GAGACATCCTCGGAATTCCTGCGCGCGGGGCGCTTATCCGCGTCGCGGTCGGGGCTCCAGACACCGTTATTTGTCGAGGATTCTGCGAAAAAACACTCCGCACTCTTTCTTTTTTACGAAGGAAAGCGGGGGTCTGCGGACCCCGTTTTTTTATCGAGGATCCGAGATGGGGGGCGCACTTTCCTCGAGCGGGCACGCACGAAACGCATTTTTTCTAACAGAAATCAGCACTGTACCTAGTTACTTACGCAGAATAATTTCGCCGGCCCTCGTCAAGTCAAAACCGGGGGTAAACAAACTAAAAGAAAACCCTGGGCCTCAGCCCTTTCCGGGAAAAAAAACATACAAAAACACAGGGTTTCGCAACACTGATTTGCTAGAAAAGCTTCCGCGCGAGCTCTTGTGAAATCTGAAGACAACCATGGGTTTTTCAAGATTTTCACAAAATGCTACCAAACGGGCGTCGCGCGCGCGCATGTCGAAATCTGTCGAACGCCCTTGCGCGTGTGCCGTCGCGAGCATCCTCTGCAAAAAACGGGACGAAGTGCACACGCGCGCGTCGTCGCGCGCGTACGCCGAAATCCTTCAAAACCCATCGGTTTCGGAAGGATTTCAAAATCGTGAGTCCAAAAAACCTACAGAAACCCAAGGTTTCGCAACACGGATTTTCAACAAAAGCGTGAGCGCGCGCTCTTGCGTCGTCGTCGTCGTCGTCGTCGCCGTCCTCCCTCCTCCCGCGTCGTCGTCGTCGTCGCCTACGTCGTCCTCTGTCTTTCCTCGTGTTCGTCGTCGTCGTCCTCTTTGGCGTCGTGGTCGTTTCCGTCGTCGGTGTCGCCGTGGTCGTCCTTCCTCCTCCTCCTCCCTCGTCGTCGTCGTCGTCCGTCGTCGGCGTCTCGTCGTCGTCCCTCCTATTTCGTCGCCGTCGACGTCGTCGTCCTCGTCGTTGTCGTCGTCGTCGTCGTCTTCCCGCCTCCCTCGTCGTTGTCGTCGTCAGCGTCGCCGTCCTTCCTCCTTCGTCGTCGTTCGCGTCGTCGCCGTCCTCCCTCCTCCCTCGTCGTTGTCGTCGTTGTCGTCGTTGTCGCCGTCGTTGTCCTCCCTCCTCCCTCGTGGTCGTCTTCGTTGGCGACGTCGTCGTCGTCTTCGTCGTCGTCGTTGGCGTCGGCGTCGTCGTGTTCTTCGTCGTCGTCGACGTCGGCGTCGTCGTCGTCGCCGCCGTCGTCGTCGTCGTCGTCGTCGTCGTCGTCGGCGTCGTTGACGTCGTCGTCGTCGTCGGTGTCGTCGTTGTCGTCGTCGGCGGCGTCGTTGACGTCGTCGTCGTTGTCATCGTCGTCGTCGTCGTCGTCGTCGTCGGCGTCGTCGTCGTCGTCGTCGGTGTCGTCATTGTCGTCGTCGTTGTCGGCGTCGTCGAAGTCGTTGGAGACGTCGTCGGGGTCGTCGTAGTCGTTGTCGGCGGCATCGTCGTCGTCGTTGTCGCTGTCGTCGTCGGCGTCGCTGTCGCTGCCAAGTGCCATTTGGTACCCACCGTCACGGTCTTAAGAGATTTTGCAAACCAAGTTGCGGGTGGGTGGGTGGGATGTTTGCGCGAGCAGTGGAGTGGACAATTCACTGCGAACAGAAATTAATTCTCCTTCTAAAAGAATAATAGATTCTACCCCCCCCTCGGACTTATCGGTTGCCCCGCGCGTGCTGTAAATCACATATGATTCTGACCACATGTCCATCCTAAACATGAATTCGTACCATCCCAGCCAAGCCGGTATCCCCCCCCCTGCGGTTCCCTTGTAAAAAAACATGATGCGGTGACATTTTTTGTTCTAACATTACACTTTTTCACGACTCCCTTGCAAAAAACGGGACGAAGTGCACACGCGCGCGTCGTCGCGCGCGCATGCCGAAATCCTTCAAAAACCTTCGGTTCGGGAGAGATTTCAAAATTGAATTTCCAAAAAACATACAAAAACACATGGTTTCGCAACACTGATTTGCTAAAAAAGCTTACGCGCGAACTCTTGCAAAATCTGAAGAAAACCATAGGTGTTCCAAGAGTTTCACAAAATGCTACCAAACGGGCTTCGCGCGCGCGCGCGCATGTCGAAATCTGTCGAACGCCCTTGCGCGTGTGCCGTCGCGAAAATCTTCTGCAAAAAATTTGACGAAGTGCAGACGCGCGCGTCGTCGCGGGCATATGCCGAAATCCTTCAAAAACCTCCGGTTTCGGAAGGATTTCGAAATCGTGCGTCCAAAAAACCTACAAAAACACAAGGTTTCGCAACACGGGTTTTCAACAAAAGTGTGCGCGCGCGCTCTTGCGTCGTCGTCGTCGTCATCGTCCTCCCTCCTCCCTCGTCGTTGTCGTCGTCGTCGTCGTCGTCGTCTTGGCGTCGTCGTCGCTTCCGTCGTCGTTGTCGCCGTGGTCGTCCTTCCTCCCTCGTTGTCTTCGTCGGCGTCTCGTCGTTGTCCATCCTATTTCGTCGCCGTTGTCGTCGTCGTCGTCGTCGTGGTCTTCACTCCTCCCTCGTCGTTATCCTCCTCCCTCGTCGTCGTCGTCCGTCGTCGGCGTCTCGTCGTCGTCCCTCCTATTTCGTCGCCGTCGTCGTCGTCTTCGTCGTCGTTGTCGTCGTCGTCGTCTTCCCTCCTCCCTCGTCGTTGTCGTCGTCGGCGTCGCCGTCCTTCCTCCTTCTTCGTCGTTGGCGTCGTCGCCGTCCTTCCTCCTCCATCGTCGTTGTCGTCGTTGTCGCCGTCGTCGGTTTTTCTCCTCCCTCGTCGTCGTCTCCGTTGGCGACGTCGTCGTCGTCTTCGTCGTCGTCGTCGGCGTCTTTGTCGTCGTCGTCGGTGTCGTCGTCGTCGTTGTCGTCGAAAACATTGGAGACGTCGTCGGTGTCGTCGCAGTCGGTGTCGGCGTCGCCGTCGTCGTCGATGTCGCTGTCGTCGTCGGCGTCGGTGTCGTGGCCAAGTGCCATGTGGTGCCTACCGTCACGGTCTTGTCTGAAGAGGTCTTGCGACCAAGTCGCGGGTGGGAGGATGGGATGTTTGCACGAGCAGTGGAGAGGACAGCTTCAAGACGGTCAAGATTAATTGCACCACCCAGATTCTCCTTTCTAAAAAGAAAATAGAGTCTACCCCCCCCCCGGCGTTATCGCCGCCCCTTTCGGGACTGCGAATCATATATGATTCTGACCACATGTCCATCCTAAATGTGAATTTGCACTATCCCAGGGGGGCCGGTATCCCCCCCCCTGAGGTTCCCTTGTAAAAAACGCTATGCGGTGACATGTTTTGTTCTAACATAACACTTTTTCGCGAATCCCTTGCAACAAATGGGACGAGATGCGCACGCGCGCGTCGTCGCCCGCGCATGCCGAAATCCTTCAAAAACCTTCGGTGCTGGAAGGATTTCGCAATCCAGTTTCCAAAGAACATACAAAAACACATGGTTTCGCAACACTGATGTGCAAAAAAAGCTTACGCGCGAGCTCTTGCGAAATCTGAAGACAACCATGGGTTTTTCAAGATGTTCACAAAATGCTATTAAACGGGCGTCGCGCGCGCGCACGTCGAAATTTGTCGAACGCCCTTGCGCGTGTGCCGTCGCGAGCATCCTCTGCAAAAAAACGGGACGAAGTGCACACGCGCGCGTCGTCGCGCGCGTACGCCGAAATCCTTCAGAACCCATCGGTTTCGGAAGGATTTCAAAATCGCGCGTCCAAAAAGCCAACAAAAACACAAGGTTTCGCAACACGGATTTTCAACAAAAGCGTGCGCGCGCGCTCTTACGTCGTCGTCGTCGTCGTCGTCGTCGCCGCGATCGTCGCCGTCCTCCCTCCTCCCGCGTCGTCGTCGTCGTCGTCGTCGCCTACGTCGTCCTCTGTCTTTTCTCGTGTTCGTCGTCGTCGTCCTCTTTGGCGTCGTGGTCGTTTCCGTTGTCGTTGTCGCCGTGGTCGTCCTTCCTCCTCCTCCCTCGTCGTCGTCGTCGTCGTCGTCCGTCGTCGGCGTCTCGTCGTCATCCCTCCCATTTCGTCGCCGTCGTCGTCGTCGTCGTCGTCTTCCCTCCTCCGTCGTCCTTGTCGTCGTCGGCGTCGCCGTCCTCCCTCCTTCTTCGTCGTTCGCGTCGTCACCGTCCTCCCTCCTCGTCGTTGTCGTCGTTGTCGCCGTCGTCGTCCTCCCTCCTCCCTCGTCGTCGTCATCGTCTTCGTTGGCGGCGTCGTTGTTGTCGTCGTCGTCGTTGCCTTCGTCGTCGTCGGCGTCGGCGTCGTCGTCGGCGTCGTCGTCGTCGGCATTGTCATCGTCGTCGTCGTCGGCGTCGTCGTCGTCGGTGTCGTCGTCGTCGGCGTCGTCGTCGAAGTCGTTGGAGACGTCGGCGGTGTCGTCGTAGTCGGTGTCGGCAGCGCCGTCGTCGTCGTTGTCGCTGTCGTCGTCGGTGTTGTGGCCAAGTGCCATGTGGTACCTACCGTCACGGTCTTGTCTTAAGAGGTCTTGCGACCAAGTCGCGGGTGGGAGGGTGGGATGTTTGCACGAGCAGTGGAGAGGACAGCTTAAGACGGTCAAAGTGGATTGCACCACATAAATTTCACCACACACATTGCCCTACATAGATTGCACCCCCTAGATTGCACCGATACGTGGCACTACAGAGTACGCAAGAACACACTGTGTAGGGTCCGAACTCGCTAACATTGTGCTCTAATGCCTCGGCAGAAACATCTTGACGGGTAGCAAATGCGGTCATGAACTGCTACTTCGCGTGTCGCCGCGGCGGCCCCGTCGACACGCGTTGCCGTGCAAGCGAACAGCGTCTCGTTCCGCTCCGTGGGGCAGAAGGCTGGGAACGGCTTGGGACGTCGGCGCTTTAGAATTGGGACGGGTTAGCGTGTCGCGCCGAAGCGTGGTGGGCCAGAACCGGCGGCGCCTCACGCTGAGCCAAAGTTCCTGACAGTGAAAAAAGACATCATGGATGCACATACTATAAAACACTCGCTGGGGGAGACAACTAAGGGCACGACGGGATGATCAGAGAGTTGCTACCCGTGTCCGCCACCACGCTGAATCTCTGCGACGGCGTGCCGACGTCCACGTCGATCGTGAAGTGGGTACCGCGGTTTTCCAAGGCCGCACAGCCCCTGCTGCCGTCCGATGCATGCAAGACCGCCTTGACGGAGCAACGACAGGGTGGGACCGGCTCAGGAGGGGAAGCATCGAGCTGGAATCGGCAACACATCGCCGATCGATCGGCACTAGGCCGCCGATAGCGAGTCCGCACAGTGCTGGGTGGGGAGGGCTATCTGGCCCCTATCGGCGATCCATGGGCCATTGATGGCCCATGGATCCCCCCTGAGCCTACTCCCCCCCCTCACGTTACCACTGACACCTGCTGGTGGAGACCGATGCTGGTCGCGCCGAGGGCGCGCGCCAGCGCGATGAGGAGCGGCAGACTGGCGCGTGCCATGGTATAGTGGACGGAATGTAAGGTTTGGGGGGCGGGACAGGGCGTCCCGTTAGTAGAGCTTGAAATATAACGATTGGTGACGGTGGCGAGGCGACGCTGCAGTTGCTGCCGCTGATGGATGGTGAATGCGACAGTGCTAGATTGAATAGGCGACAGAAACGCAACATTACAACAAGATGCGGGATGCCCCCTCTCCGCGCACTCTTCCCCGGCGCGCGGGGAAAGCCAGGCGGCGGCGCTGGATGCGCAGTGGCTGTGGTGGGAGGGGTCCTGCTCCGACCCGAGAAATCCAGGCAACTCTCCCATCAATGATGTGTCGTTTTCTTGGTTCATGTCTGGAAGCGGTAGACCTTGTGAGCCAAGCACTCACACGACGAGCCGCGAGATCCAAAGACAGGAACACTCACCGGAGCTATTGGCTCAACGGCGCGAGCAGAGGCTCAACAAGATGATTCTGTCGGGCGCTGGGCCCGCACTCGAGGCCTATGCAAGAAGTGACCGTGGCCCAAGGCGATCCAACTTTTCCGGGGAGGCCCGTAGTCTCCAGGGCTCCCCTCGCGAGGCCCAGCGGCCCGCCGGGGACTCAACGATGGCTCCAAACGCCAGGGATAGCTTGGGCCAGGATCACTTCTGGCAAGCCCCGGCAAGAGGGCTCGAACACAAAGAAATCGTGAAATGTGGTGGTGATCCCGGACCTCCGACGCCGTCATTGCTTCACGACGTGGCACTGGGGCCTTCGACCGTCATTCCGGTCGCCGCTCTTTCGCCCCAAGGCCGCTTCTTGTCGGATGCCCCGGGGCCCGACGTAAACATACTGTCGGATCGCGCGGTTTAGCGGGGCCGGCGCTGGACACCCTGCCTGGCGCGCGGAGCGCGCCAGGGGCGGCGCCGGAGGCGCCACCATGGGGGGTCCAGTGCAGATCCGAGAAGCCCGCGCGGAGCTTCGAACGTTCTTATTATGCAGTTCATCTGCTTCGAGAGATCGTGCGCAAAAAGCCCCGTCGTGGGCTTCTCAGGACCCCGGAGGTCTGGGTCCACGAGGTGATGCGGGAACACGACGGGCGCCTGGCACAGGTCTTTGCCCGTTAGGCGGATGGTGCCCGCCCGCAGCGGTGCAGCGGGCTCAGCACACCACGGTGCTGATTCGACCCCGCGGGGTCCACGCTCTGTCCCCTCTCCTCCCTCCGCCAGGTCCCCAAGAAGCCCCAAGATTATCCAAGAGGTCCCCAAGATGCCCCCAAGAGGCCTAAGAGAGCCTAAAGAAGCCTCCATGAGGACCCCCCTCTCCTCCTTGTCCGTATCCTCCTGCTGCTCCTCTGTCTGTTGCTTAGCCGCCTCCTTGCCCTCCCCGTTTTCTACAATTCAACGACAACACAACCTAAATGATGCATGATCCTCCTTGTCATCATCGTCTGCTGCTCCTCATCCTCCTACTTCCCCTCCCCGTCCTCGTGGTCGTTGTCGTCACCCTCGAGGCGCAGTTGGAAGGTGCGGACGGGAGGGGGGGCTTGTCACATGCGATGCGGGTGCACCTCCAGACAAACTCTTCCCCCCTCTGTCCTGCCTCTTGTGATCCACCTCTTCCTGGCCGCCTGCTCTTCCTGCTCCATCCCCCCCGCCTTCTCGTTCCACCTCCGCCAGGACCTCGTGAACTCTGCCCACCGCCCCCCCCTACGCAGAATCACCGAGACCGCCTCAGAACCTCCTAGAACCTTCCTCCATCCCCGTCTGAAAATGTTGGGTTGTTTTGTGCGATCACCCTTCTATCCACGTCGAATCCACGCTGAATCCGTATCAAGCCCGCGTCAAACCCACTTCAGACCCGCCTCGGATACAAGAAAAAACGATAGACACTTTCCGCATGGAAAGGTGCCGAGAAGTGGTGTCAAGTGACACTCAGTGGAGCAGCAACTGCTGGGACAACGGTGCTGCCCCCCCGCACACAAACACACACACACACACACACTCAAGTTCCACGCACACCATGCACCCACGTCGTAAAGTCACATGGATTATGTGAACCGCGGTCTCAGATAAGACAGAGGTTGAAGCGTGGCTTTTACCTGATTGCGTCGAGAGACTGTGGTAGCAGGCTAACGAAGGCTAAACCAGAGGCTAAAGGCTAAATGTATCGCTCCTGCCTCTCCGCAGACCTGACCACATCTGCTCTCCTCCTCCTCCTCATCATCATCAGCATCATCAGCATCATCAGCATCATCATCATCATTATGATCATCATCACCATCACCACCATCATTATCATCATCATCATCAGCAGCATCATCATCATCATCCTCATCCTCATCCTCATCCTCATCCTCATCCTCATCATCAGCATCATCATTCTGATCATCGTCATCATCACCACCATCATCATCGTCATCATCATCATCGTCATCATCATCATCATCATCATCAGCAGCAGCAGCATCATCATCTCCTCCTCCTCCTCCTCCCTCCTCCTCCTCCTGCTTCTTATCCTCCCTCCTTCTCCTCCCGCGCGCTCCTCTTGCCTGCTCCTGCTTCCCCTCCCTCAGAGCCCCCCTGAGATCCCGGCACCTCAGAATCCCTCAACCCTCCTCCGTACTCTTCCGCCCCCACAGGATCTGCGAAGTTGGCAGGCCCACGTTCACCCATCACCCCCGCTGCCAGGGGACAACTTCGGCGTTTCGAGAGAGAGAGAGCGAGAGAGAGAGCGAGGGAGACCTTTGGGCTAAAGTGCTCAGCAAGGCTGAGCGGGCGGCCAGGGGCGTAATCATTTGTGTAGGCTCGCCTCGCCCGGCCAGAGCTCCGCTGGGGGGCCCCGTCGCCGCGACGAGCCCCCGGCCCTCGGGGGCCTGCCTCCGCGGGGCGAGGGGCGCTCCGGCGGGCATCTCGGGGGCGGCTCCCGCCGTGATGGCAGGAGACCTCCTCGGGGAGCCCGCGGGAGGACGGACGCGCCCGAGTCCGCGTGCCGGAGCACGGCCCCCCCCGAGTCCGCGAGACCAGCCTCGTGCTGCGAACGCTCGCGCAATGCGCACGCCCGAAGCCAACGTGGATTCGTGCACGTGGTCGTCCCGCTTTCGCTCCGGACTCCCGGGGGCCCAGACATCTTCTGGCACGCGGGGGTTCCAGCCCTGACTGGTGGAAGCTGGTCCTGGCCCCCGTGGGCTTCTTTTGTCGAGACACGGGCTCCCGACCTCTCGACCACTTCCCCAGGACCCGTTCTTCATCCCAAGTCGCTTGCTGACGGTCCCGAGGCCCGGCAAGGGCCCCGAAAGGCCTAAAACTATGAAAAAGCTCAGTCTCGATTTGTTCGAGACGCTGGATCTCTGGGGATCAGCTCGCCATCGTGAGCCGTTTCTGATGGTCCCTGTGCCAGGGGATGGGCCCGGCAGCCCAAAGACGGGGAGAGAGAGCCTCCCGGACCCCCATGCTCCAGGACTCCCGCGCCTTCGCGGCTGGGAACAAAACGTCACGAGACCTCCATGTGGTCAGGAAGTGCTGCCCCGCACGTCGCGACGGCGGCCCCGGCGACGCGCTACGCCCTGCGGGCGGAGAGCGCGTCGCCCCGCTTCGTGGGACGGAGGCCGGGAAAGGCTCGCGACGAGGACGACTGGGCTCTGGGAAGTGGTCCGCGTGTCGCTCCGACGCGTGCTGGGCAAGAACCGGCGGCGCGACACGCCGAGCAGACGTTCCCCACGACCCTCCCTGCTCGATCCTCCCGGCTGCCGATGGTGCCCGCGGCGCGCGCGGCCGGCGACTCACAACGGGCGTGTCGTGTCGATGCGTGGCACGCGAGGCGGCCCGATGCCGCGGCGAGGGCCGCGCGAGGTCGCCTCCGCCGCGCGAGGGCACCCCGTGCACCGCCGCCGTGCCTGGCCGGGGGGCCATCCTGGGCCCTGCCGTGGTGCGTGCCCGGGAGGAGCCGAGGGGCTTCCGGGGCCACGGCGGACCTCGGCCGCGAGTGTGCTCCCCGGCTCGGGTCTGGATGGCCCGAGCACCAGGGCCCCTCCCGAGCCCAGAGCGGTCCTCCTCTCGGCGTATCTTGGCGGGAGGGGTGTCCCCGGTCCAGAGTGGCCCCGGCTCCTCCTGGGAGGCCCACGTGGCCTCCACAGCACCCCCCACGAGCTCCAGAAGGCCTGGGGGGGCACATCATTGGCCAGAGCCAGCACCCGATCTCCACTCTCCTGGCCGAGGCCAGCAGGGTCTGTACGGCATCCTGGCGCCGAAGATGGCCCTCGCCAGGCGTGGCGGTGATGAACGGATGCCGTGCGCGGGCCTTCGCAGTCTGCTCGTTTCTCATCTTGGTCGTCGCCTGGGCTCTGGGCTGGCTGGCCGAGAAACAGCCTAGGACCTTCCCATATCCTGGCTTGCCGCCTGAGAGATCACGGCACGTATTTGTTGTGGCGATCCGAATTCCCCTGGAGGTCGCTCGGACCCTAGGACAATTTAACAGCACCAGCGACGAAGAACGGGTCCTGGAGATGGGTCGAGGGCTCCAGAGATCAGTGCCGCGCGAAAGATCGCAAAGTTGGGGGTCTGGCAGTTTCTGGGCCTGGCCATGCCTTGCCTGCGCGTCTCTCGACTCGCTCCCCCCGCCCCTTTGGAGTGACGGTGCCGTTGTGGGCCCCCGCGCATCCTTGGACATCGCCAGGTTCACTGTGGCCTTGCAACTGCCGCAAGGCTGCTCGCTCTGGGAGGTGAAGGACATGGCCGGGGGCGACGCCTTCATGTCGTAGCCGACCGCGTACTCGTAGAAGATCGGGGTCCCAAGGATCCATACGGGGCCGTTGCCCGAGGTCTTGTAGTCCATCTCTCCGAACATCGGGGTGCAGACCTTCTTCATCGACTTCGCCAGGCTGGTGTTCGCGGGGATGCTGCCCACGCCCTCGAGAAGTTTCAGAGCGCTCTCGGCCTGGTCGCCTGACATCTCCATGACGTACATGTGCCCTGGGATCTTCAAAGCCTGAGCCTTGCCGTCGCTCCCGCGGATGTGGAAGTGGAGGTCGGGCAACTCGTCCATGCCCCCTTGCCCCCAGGAGTCGCAGTCCATGAGAAGCAGCTGCAACACGTCGGACTTGCTTATGGTACCCTGCATGTGGAAGACGTTCGTCCCGTAGTGCTTTTGCATGGCCTCGCTCGCAATCTTCTCGGCCTCCTCCAGTTTGGTGAAGTTCTGGCGGCAGCGGTCCCAGCCGTCGCAGATGCCCTCCAAGACGGCACTGATGTGCTCTTTCGGGCCCATCAGCAACGTGGTGCCAGAGTCGGGGATGGCACCACAGGGCGACCTGAGAAGAGAATGTATTGAAACTAGTGGCGATGACTGCAGGAAGAGGGCGGGGGGCGAGGAGGAGGATGCGAAGGAGGAGGAGGAGGAGGAGGAGGAGGAGGAGGAGGAGGAGGAGGAGGAGGAGGAGGAGGAGGAGAGGGGGAATGGGGGAGGTAATGGTGGCTGGCCTGAAAGGTGGGTCAGAGGCACTAGAACACCTTGCCATCGGAAAGCTGCGACTCATCGTCCGAGCCCTCCCGAGCAGTGCGCTCTCCCATGGGCCTGATCCTTCGGGAACACCGGCGCCTGGGAGGCAACCACCTGGGACCCATTCAATAGCACCAGGAGGGAGAAAAGGCCCGCCGATTCCACAGGCTTGGGCTCGATCACGCCCTCGAGCTCAGATCCAGCACGCAGGCAGACAGATCGGGCCAGGAGGACTGAGCACCAACGATTTGGCCGAAGCCCGCTCGTGAGGGTGCTCCTCCATCCGGATTCGATCCGGGACTTGCTGCTACGCGTCGCAGGCTGGCCTTTGCGCCGCTCACGCGCCACGGGGCCTGGCCAGCACTCCGAGTTATGGGCACCGCATCCCTCTGCGAACGGATGTGCGCGCCTATCGCGCGAGGGAGTCTCGACTGCACATCTGACCATGCCGTAGCCGCGAACACAGAAGGCCTCGGGGGGTCTGGCCTTCCCAAGCTTCGCCCTCCTCCTCCACGGCACTCGGCGACGACGGCTCACCACCCGCCTCCTGCCCCACAAGGAGGGGGCGGGCTCCTGAGCCTCCAGCCCAGGCCTCCCGCAGCTCTAAGAAGGACCCGCGGCACCGTCCGCAGGGGCCAGGGGGGCCTAGCCAACAGCATGGCGGGGGCGAGACCGAGGGTGTTCGAGCAGGGATCGACTACCGAATTGATCTACCCCAGAATTGATGTCCCCGCCATATTTACGGAAAATGCGTATGGTGCCCCGTCGATCGACGAACATCCTAAGTGTGTCTTGCATATTCGGCAGAAAAATCAAGCTTGGAATCAATCAGTTCTGTAGTTGATCCCCTGTTCGAAGTGTCTTGCCTCCCCGCCGAACCCTGAGACAAATGGACGTCGAGAATGGCTGCCCACCTGCACGACTCCGCCGCAAGCGCCTTGAAACCACGAAACAACCTCGCATGCCGATCCGTGACCCCATGCATCATGGCGCCAACTTTTGCATAGGCATCCGCCGACCGATGTTCCGTGCGCTTCCATCCTGTCGAGCGACTAGCTTCAATGTCGGTCGGCGTGGCATGAGCAAGAATCTCAAACGCTTGGATGCCTGAAGTCTCAAACGCACCCCAGAACGGGAACAAGGCCCCATGCCGAAAAACGTGAGCATGTGGATCGCGAAGTCCTCGTCATCCTTGGAGTTTTGTCGAGAATCGAAACTGAGCGGCACTGGACCGTATGCCGCATGCAAAACATGACCGAACCTATCCTTTTACCCCAAGGCCTAGCCAGCTCGGGAGAACCCTGGTTCGCTGGGCCTCATGGCCGAGCCGTCGCTGAAAATGACGTCCGAAAGGAGACCACTGGCAAGCTTGTTTATCCAAGCCACCCTAACTTCGGGCTCTTCCCGCGGGATGAAGGCCAGCGGGGAAGGGAAAACTCCAGGCGCGAAACGCTTGCCGAGGGCCATGAGTCGGGACGGAGCGTCGTGCTGGCTAGTACAGCGCGCCCGCCGAGCCAGTGTGACAGGAGGGGGGAATGAGGGAGGAAGGGAAGGAGGGGAAGGAGGAGGAGAGGGAAGAAGAAGAGAACCAGGAGCAGG